GTTTGCGACTAAAGCAGGAAACAGGTCTTGGCCTGCAGATTGCTTGGTCCGGACCTTTACACGTATTTATTATTGTCCATATTTGTTTCCCAACTTTATTCGTATTTCTTTATCTGTGTTCTGCGATTACGACTTAAGTTAGTCCAGGTCGGAGCCCTTTCAGAAGACCTAGAGACTTAGATCGTGTACTTTTGATCTGCAGACTGTTTAGGTAAGATCTTTACACACAAGTTTACTTCATCTACGATTATTTCTCACGTTCATCTCTTATTACGATATTTATATTTATTCATGTTCCAGTGTTCAGCGTCTACGGCCAAAGTTGGTCACAGTTCGGAATCCTTATCAAAGGCCCTACAGTCCTTTGTGACACAGCAGTTCGCATCACGTACGACGGACCTCGCTGTTTATGGAGGCTGGGCTTACGTGTGTTTTTGATTTGCAGACGACTTTGTCCAAGTCTTTGCACGCAACGTTAATATTTTTATAATAATAATAAATTTTATCTGATTGTGTCCCTATCGGCTCAGGGGTTAACCCGTCAACGATCCGGTGTTGGATCACGGAGAGGCAGTGTCTCACGGAAATGGGCCAGGAGGGGCCCATTTCACAAGAATTTTTATTTACCTCTTCTTCCATTTTTCCATATCCTTTTTCCTTTTATAAAATTTTATCGAACATTTTCAACGCAAAGGACATTACAATAATTGTACTCCATCACACGAAGAATATTTGTGTTGGCACAGTTTATTAATATAGAGAAAATTACATGTTTGAATAACTATGAATTTCAGGTAGAGACAAGCGGAATCCTCTATCACAGGTGCTGCAAATAAATAAAATAGAAGGTAAATAGAAATAAGTAACGGTAGATTTGATGAATAGGTTATTATAAACAGCAATCTCTAATTAACAATAAGGAGTTTTCAAGATGAATGGAATTATCGATTGCAGTTCCTGTTAGTCTCCAACTTTGTAAATTCGTTGATTTAATCTCAATATATTCAGCATGCCGATCCGTTTATGTTTCGCTCGTCAATCGATCTGAAATCACTCGGTGCATAATACCTATCTGGTATGGACAATGTAGTAACAATCAACGATAAAAAAAAAAGTGAAATTTCAATAGTTATAAATTATACTAGCAGCATTCGAAAGATCGTTTTTTGATCATAACTTGACAATCAATAGGATTCAGGATAAATGTCGCTTGCGAAAAGTCGCGTGTTGGTTTAATTAAACTATAATTTACAATATTATGTAACGGAATCCTTATCAAAGGCCCTACAGTCCTTTGTGACACAGCAGTTCGCAACACGTACGACGGACCTCGCTGTCCGTGGAGGCTGGGCTTACGTGTGTTTTTGATTTGCAGACGACTTTGTCCAAGTCTTTGCACGCAACGTTAATATTTTTATAATAATAATAAATTTTATCTGATTGTGTCCCTATCGGCTCAGGGGTTAACCCGTCAACGATCCGGTGTTGGATCACGGAGAGGCAGTGTCTCACGGAAATGGGCCAGGAGGGGCCCATTTCACAAGAATTTTTATTTACCTCTTCTTCCATTTTTCCATATCCTTTTTCCTTTTATAAAATTTTATCGAACATTTTCAACGCAAAGGACATTACAATAATTGTACTCCATCACACGAAGAATATTTGTGTTGGCACAGTTTATTAATATAGAGAAAATTACATGTTTGAATAACTATGAATTTCAGGTAGAGACAAGCGGAATCCTCTATCACAGGTGCTGCAAATAAATAAAATAGAAGGTAAATAGAAATAAGTAACGGTAGATTTGATGAATAGGTTATTATAAACAGCAATCTCTAATTAACAATAAGGAGTTTTCAAGATGAATGGAATTATCGATTGCAGTTCCTGTTAGTCTCCAACTTTGTAAATTCGTTGATTTAATCTCAATATATTCAGCATGCCGATCCGTTTATGTTTCGCTCGTCAATCGATCTGAAATCACTCGGTGCATAATACCTATCTGGTATGGACAATGTAGTAACAATCAACGATAAAAAAAAAAGTGAAATTTCAATAGTTATAAATTATACTAGCAGCATTCGAAAGATCGTTTTTTGATCATAACTTGACAATCAATAGGATTCAGGATAAATGTCGCTTGCGAAAAGTCGCGTGTTGGTTTAATTAAACTATAATTTACAATATTATGTAATAGAGGTGCTGAGCACTTAAAGTAAAGAATATTTTATTTAAAAAGCACAGTAAACAGGGCCTTAGAATTGGTAATCATTATAGAATTCATAATAACGTATTAGGGTGAAAATTTTATAGTTTTTCGGTTTTACCAGTTTAAAATTACAATATTTACACATCAATCATAATGTTTTACCAATGAGAAAGGGCACTTGGAGTACTGCCTACTATAAAAATAGAATTCTTATGATAAATTGTCATTATACTTATATCCACGGAGGATGATTCCTTCGGTAAACATAGCATTAGCTCATATCATTATGACTCTATGTACTTTTGAAGTTTAATCATTCGGAGTCTAGTTGAACAGGCATATTCTATTCTATAATATTCCATATATTGAGACGTTTGATCAATTTCTCTTATACACAGAGGCTCCATGTGACGGCATTAAGAGTACAGTGAAACTAACGTTCAAATAAATAAAAATATGTGTACATACACAAATAATAATTCAGCTTCGAGGTGCCGCTTGACACATCATTTGCGAGCAGACACATCAGTAAGTGTATCTACCTTGAGATTCCGGCTGCTTAGCGTTTATGTACAAAATATATATTTGAAAATGTCTAATACTAATGAAATATCTCTTTGAGTAAAATTGAAGAATTAGACTGTTTGTACGTAGATTGTAAATAGATGAGTATATGAATGAATTGAACTTTACTTATAGTCGTTTAAGAATAGCTATTAGTTATAAGTATAGCGAGGCTAGGAAGACGGAAGCAGTTTTGTCTTATTGACAATCAGTTTCGTAAGTAATTAATAACTGGTAGATTCTTCTGTATTGTACAAACGTAGCTACCCGGGACTCATAGGACGAAAAGTCGAAATAGATGTACATTAAAAAGGATTTTGGATCGAGCTGATGATCGCGTTTTAATTCTAGATCGACGTATCTTTCAGCATTTTTAATTAATTGTTCAGTAGATGTTATTTCAGACATTAAAATAATTAATTAAATCGATAATGTAAAATATTAACACTTAAAACTCTGAATATATGGAAAAGTATATTAAGAAGTACTGGAAGTTGCCCAAAATTGTGTGCGCGCAAATTTTTCACGCAGGACTCGGAAAGCGGGAGCAGGCGGAGAGTGGGAGCAGGCGGATGGGTGGGGGCGCTCGAGGCAGGGCCCGGACTCGAAGCGCTCATTCTTCCTCGAGCCGGTCTCCTATACTGGTCTCTTGGAAATACGCCTCATATTCATTTCCAACCTTCTTCTATTTCTATAGTTATTTCTTCTTTACTTCCTTATTTCTTTGTGTGCGCAAATTTTTCACGCAGGAATCGGCGAGCGGGAGCTGGCGGCGAGAGGGAGCAGGCGGACGGTGGGGGGCGCTCGAGGCAGGGCCTGGACTCGGAGCGCTCATTCTTCTTCGAGCCGGTCTCCTATACTGGTCTCTTGGAAATACGCCTCATATTCATTTCCAACCTTCTTCTATTTCTATAGTTATTTCTTCTTTACTTCCTTATTTCTTTCTCTTTCACTCTTCACTTTCTTACTTATCTCTTTCCTCATTTCTTCTCCACTTTTATAACTC